AATGCGTTGAGATTAGCGCGGTTTTCGAAAACGGCTCATTTAGAAGCTCTGATACTTGCTTATTTAAAGCCGCATGTATACCTTACTTCGTTTTACCACAGTTATACAAAAGGCCGTACGAGTACAGAAATTATTAGACATTGCAGTTACTGACATTTCCAAGTATTGTTGTATTCAAAGGGAACGAGAAAATAGTTTGATATTTAATTACAATAATAAATACAGTTAAACATAAATATGTAACAAATTTTGTAACAAAAAAAGCACAAAATCGAGTATGAAAATCATTAAATACATCACTTCTAGTGTGGCTAATCAGAACTCTGTTATTTTAAGTGACTTGTGTTCAAAAACGGCATCTTCGTTAATTAACAAAACAATCCTCATCAAGGTTTTCGTTGTTCATCAAAAGTTATTTGTATTAAGTAGCAAATCTCGAGGCGGTAGTACCTCTTATTATCCTATTATTATCCTATTATTATCCTATTAGACGAGAAAAAGTTTTGAATAGGGCCGTGATTAATGTCAAACGAGTGATTCACCTCGCGACCAATCCCGCCAAAAACAATTGAAAATCAACATGCGACCAATCGAAGCTTTACTGGACTGTTCAAGGGCGTAACTGAGGGGAAGGAGGGTCTGAGGTGCCCGTGAACCCCCCCCCCCCCCCCCCCCCCCTTTTAAGCGATTTCAAAGAAAATAACCTTCAACCTGAAGGCAAAAACTGGTAAATACCCTCTGTTTGACACAGTGTGACACCACCCCCCCCTTTTTTTTCGAAAATCCTGGCCACGCCCCCACTGTTCCAGGCGTACATGGAGCGCGATGGTGGCTCAAGGCGAAAAACGAGATGGATCGATTCGCCTTTACGTTCAAAATCTCTCTCTTGTGTCGCACCCCATTAATTAAGTGAAAGCCTGGAGTAAACTGACTGTGCGATATTAGCTAGACATCTACAAAATTAACTGCGTCGTGCTGTTCACAGTAGCAGAATCCCCTTGTTATGTGTAAATACGTTGAGTTAAATTCAGACGAATTCCATTCTTTGTGCGCAGCATAAGCTCTGGGAAAAGGTCTTTGGATGTAACCAGGTTTTCTTCGTTTATGGACAGATGAAACCTGCCACAAAAAGTTACGTGCATGAGTAAAGGGAAGAGGGGTGATTCATAGGAATAAATAGCAGGAATTATGATAGATGTTTTGAGCGACCCTTGAGCGATTCGATCATTTTAGCTTCGTAGAGAGCTCTCAGCCAATCATAATCCACGTTGAAACTCCTGATCGATATGTTAGCAAACCAACCAGAACTTGTACGGTAGGTGTGGAAACCAAATCGGGCAGAAAAGCGCTCTAAACTTTGCTACACGCGCTCTGAATTGATGACGTAGGGAAAGTACATTACCTTCGAAGAATCATCGCAACGGCTACTTTTATCTCAGCCATTGCAAAATTCATTCCAATGCAGTTCCTGTTGAGATTAAATATACGAACTTTTTGAAACCTTATATGATAGATGTTAAACGTGCTGGTATCATTATAGATGGAAAGTTAGAGTTATCAAAACCTATGTTTTGTCATAAAACTAAAACTTGGGAATTACTCGAAAGGCAAACGCGAAATGAGTAGCGTGAAACGTGAACGGGGCGAGGCATTACGTATGCGCGAATTCTGATGCATGTCGAGGGTGTGCTGTGAAGCACCAATACAAATGCAAATCATATCAGGCATACCTTGGTCCAGCAGAAAATGGTATGTATGCATACGGTGATCGCTCCTCTCTGTTTTCAACAGTGAATCGCAGTGGATCAAATGACTGTGGGAAAAATCGACTAAGTATTACTGAAATGAATCTGTTGAATCGTTTGAGGGTCTACTTAACAGCAACCCTCAACAAACTGCAAAAATGCAACACTGTAAAACTGGTGTATGAAACACCGTCTCAATTAAGCTTCAAAAATTGTAGCGCAACATCTTTGGCAGAATCTGTCGTACAAGGCTTAGCTCTGATCAGTAACAAAAACAATATGTTTTAGAACAACTTTCTCTTTACTTCGCAGACTTTAGCCAAATCACCTTTTCTTTTCCAAAGAAAAGTTAACAATTATTTAAACTGCTAATATCCTGTAAAAATTCCCTTAAAGAAAAGATAGCTAGAGTCCAAACTCCGAAGAAGATATGTATTAAACTTGTTAAATGAACCATAACATTTAGCTGAAACAAAAACTCCGAAACTTCTTAAAATTCAAAACAAAGGGATAACAAATTTGCGCGAAGGAAAGCTCTAAAACAACTAACTAAACTCCGTCAAAACAAACAACAAAAGTACGCGAAAAATGTCTACGTCAGTTTTCCAATATCAAGGCGAAATTATCTCACGTCCGATAAGAACTCAAGCCACGTCGCCATATGGAAAGGCAAAGGACTAATTCGTCATTGGTTTCAGCTTTGCGTCTGATTGGATGGGTGATGTTCTAATCTGGGCCAGTCAGAGCAGTGCAAAGTGAACACAATGCAATCTGGACTACAATCAGTTGAACTAACTGGAATTTATAATTTGTTAGGTACCTCCGGATCTTCCCACACATGTGGGTTGTGATGTAAAGCATATGCGTTGATCATAATCCAAGTTCCTAAAAATGAATAGCAAAATATAAATTTTGACAACAAAGACCTATGTAAAGAGGAAAGACGGGTTCTTTAGGAGAACTGACTAATAAAAACTGTTATTGTAAGCTTTTACATCTGCTGATACACAGCCACAAACTGTCACCTTACCCGAGAGAGACATGATTACGTGGAAAGATAGGTTCTTTAGAAGAATGATTAGCGGCAACTGTAACTTTTAAGCGTGCACATCTTCTGATACACTACCTGAAAAATCCCCTTACCAGAGAGAGACTTTTAGGTGTTCAATTTAAACCATCCTACTAAGCCAAAACGAAACTAAAAGAAGTGAAGCTACACCCCTACCTTGTGGTACTAGTTTTCCAGCGATCTCATATGACTTGTCCAAGGTGCGACTGAACATTGGGAAGGGTGGATACAGCCTCATGCTCTCCTTGATAACAAGGGTTACGTATTTGAGCTGAGATAGGTCATCCCTGATGAAGCAAATTGACACTAGTATAGCCTCAGAGCTTTCTAACAATCTTATTTCATTCCCTGAATACCGTGTGGTGAGTTTGAACATTTTACTTTTGGAATGCCATAATCTTTACCCTAGGTGTCTATCAGTTGGTTCAAGCGACCTGTTAATGCCAACTACTCTGGGGCAACTTGCGGTGAATCTTGGATGGTGAAGGGGCCAGCAACACTTAAGACGCTTCAGGTTACGGAAATAGAGAAAGGTTCTAGATTTGTGAACCACCTGGCTCAAAAACAGACGTCACATGTCTAGGTGCTATTGACCAAGTGTGTGATGAAGATGGCTGGCAATTGGCTAGGATTCCTTTTGGGTCTTCATGAACCGTGTTTAAGTCGTTTAAGGTATAGGAAAACACAGATGACATGTATTGATATTTTCTAATGGGCAACCATTTTCACTAAAGCCTCTCTAAGCTAATCTCAAGTAAGCACGATGGGTTGATATTTCCCGTTTAAGCAGCCAATCGAAGCACGGGGCTCGCCAAGTAAAGTCAGGCATACATCAGACAGTCATACTGAAAGCGAGAATGATTCATGTGCAATTGAGTATCTAACCATTCAAGTTCGTTTTTGTCACCGTAAACTTCTTTGACTTCATCCTGGCATTTTCTTTGCCACTCAGGGTTTAAGGCAAGGTTGTACAGTGTCCAGGAAATTGCTTTGTGGTAAAAAAGAAAGGGAAAGTCAGCGCTGACATCAAATATCTGTGAACCAAAAGTCTTAACCACTGTATTCTTTTAAGCTTCGACCATCTGAGCCTTTATTGATTACGTAAAAAGCCATTGTCTTGGACAAACACTGAACCAAGAGTGGGTATTTGGCAAGTGTTTCCATACATTAGCTACGCAAATTAAGGTCTTGACGGTGTCGTCTAACTAATCACTGCTAAGACCCTTACTTCCTATTATTGCAGTATTTTTTGCCCCCAGTTTTCATACCTGGCCTACACAATCCGTATTTCCTTTACAGACCTGGTTTCTAATCTAGTTTTGCGATATGATCAAGCTTCGCATTGGTGTCAACGTCAC